TAATACATTGACACGCCTGCCTCTCCACTAGCCGTTTCATTTGAAGCCACCTGTAACCTCACCGCTTCCTGAGATTCAAGTGACAATGACCTTGCTGCTTTTGAAACTCCAGTTAGAACCTGGAACTGTTCTGTATCCACTCTGAAATATCTAATTACCACAAACTGTAATGTCACTGATAAATTAAAAAAGAAAGAAAGAAAGAAAGAAAGAAAGAAAGAAAGAAAAAGAAAGAAAGAAAGAAAGAAAGAAAGAAAGAAAGAAAGAAAGAAAGACTTTAAGTACAAAGGAGGAAGGTTTGGTTTTGTGTGTTTACGGCTAATGATGTGAGTGGCATTCAGGCACCAGAACTCACAAAAGCATCCTGGGGAAGCCTGAAGCTTGGGGACTCGGCCTTGGCTCTGCCACATCATCCCCTATGGCTGCTCCAAATGCCTCCGTGCAGCTCCCTGCCAGCACACTCTCCATCCTAGACTATTTTCCAATATGGCTGCCAGATTTCTCTTCCTAGAAAAGTCAATAACATCTTTCTCCACTCCACACCTCTGTGTGGATCCACGGCATACAGAATAAGCCCCAGCTTTTCTCCATGGAGCATAAGGCCTATGTGCTGGCTGATCTTACGTCCACCTGACACACAAGCTAGAGTTGTCTGAGACAAGAAAACACTAATTGAGAACATGCCTCCATAAGATCAGGCTGCAGGCAAGTCTGTAGAACATTTTCTTAATCAGTGATTGATCAAGGGGGACCTAGTCCATTGTGGGAGGAGGCATCTCTGGACTGCTGGTCCTGGGTTCTATAAGAAAGCAGGCTGAGCAAACCATGGGAACCAAGTCAGGAAGCAGCACCCCTCCAAGGCCTCTGCTTCAGCTCCTGCCTCCAGGTCCCTGCCCTGTTGGGAGTTCCTGTCCTGAACTCCTTTGATGGTGAACAGTGATCTAGAAGTATAAGCCAAATAAACCCTTTCCTCCCCAACTTGCTTTTTTGTCATGGTGTTTCATCATAGCAATAGAAAGGCTAAGACCTTAGCCTGTGTTCAAATATGCTCTCCATGTGGCCTTCTGCTCATCCCACATCAGCGATTCCCATTCATTCACTTCTGTGCAGACCAGAGTCACTTCCTTTCTGAGGCCTTTACTAACTCCCAGGAGGCTGCGCTGCCTCTGTGATCTGGGTTCTGTTGTAATCTCCACATCCTCATCACTGTCTAAGTGTGTGGTTCTCAGCTAGAATGTGTTAGCTTAATAGTTTCTGTATTAGAAAGAACATATTAAATGTTAAAATTCTACTTAGAAATATATTTTAAAATATTTCATATATATTCATATATTTACATATTATATACACATACGGCTCAGCAAAATGGCTCAGTGAGTTAGAGACACTACAGTGCCTGAAGACTTGATTGAGTTTGAGATCCAGGATCCATATGGTAGAAGGAGAGAACTGCCTCCCACGAGTTGTCCTCTGATGTCTACATGCATGCTGTGACACCCATGCCCCTGTCCCCACCCACAAAATAAATAAATTTAAAAATATTGTGGTGGTTTTGCACACACACGGTGGGGGGGGGGGATAGTATGAGAGATTCTCCATAACCACTGGTTAAAAGAAAATCTAGAAAGGGGTACCAGAATGAGAGAAACTGGGGAGATGGAAGGAAAACAAGGGAAGAAACGAACTGAGAGAGATGCTAACGGGGATACGGCAGCTTATCATTTGGATTCTCCCAGCAAGCTCCCACTGCACTCACTTAGTGTGTGGTTTTGTCCAGGCACACACAGGCCTCTGACAGACCACTCCCCAGGATCTGTAGGAACGCCCCTATTGCTGGGTCCAGTAAACTGCCTTCCTGGACGCTTTGCGGTACGGCACACGGCCGACTCCTTCCTCCTTTCTGACACTCTCGCTTACCTTGGCTTGTATATACCCTGCTTTCCCCTCTCTTCTCTGTTCACACAACCACTTCTTATAGACTGTGGCTTACCTATGTGTTCTTTAACCGTGGGTCTGTCTCAGCTTCTGCCTGTTCCTTAGCTTGCCAAGGGGCTTCTTCCCTTCTGAGCGTGAGAACACAACTTCCACTCACCACTTGAATGTTAATGACACCAGCCTAGAGCTTGGCACGCTAAAGCACCACACAGCAAAGCATCCTGGGCGTCCAGCAAGGACCTTAAACAGGCACACCTCTACAGAACACAGAGCCCTCCTATGCTTCTTCTCTGCTCCTTTAACCAGAACCAGCAAGAGAGACTAGCAAGCACTGGCTCCAAGGCCAGAGGAAGCATAGCAGAAACATCTGGAGTTTACATTGGTGGGAGAACAGGCCTAAATAATTTCACAAATTAGATATACACTGGGAGAGGGGAAAAGTCAAAGAACATTATAAACATGTGATGAAGAGACCAGATTACACGGGGAAACACTTTTTTAAAGCGCCAATATTCAACTTGAACCCAAAGAATGATTAATAGTAAGACCAGCAAAGAGTAGGGAACAGCACTAGGGAGACAGCTCGGCAGGTAAGACTGCCTGCTGCGCAAACAAGGGAGCCTGGGTTTGGATCCCCAGCACCCATGTATTCAGAAAAGCCAGGCAGGTGGTATATGATTATAGCCCTATAGCCCTAGTGTTGGCAACGGAGACTGACAGACCTGGGAGCTCACTGGCAAGCAAGCCTAAGCAAAATAAGCTTCAGGTTCACTGAGAGACCTTATCACAAGGGCAAAAGGCATAGAAAGATAAGGAAGACACTTGACACCTTCTTTAGGCCTCTGCGTGGGCACATACATCTACCTGTGCATGTGAGCACACATGCAAAGAGGAAGGTTAATTACTTGTTCTATGGAAAGACAGCATCTGGGGGAGGGAAGAGTAGGTAGAGAATCACAGAAGTAAAATGAAGAGCTCAGCTCCCCTGTAACAGGTGACAGCTCTGAGGGAAGGCTGGAGCTGCATAAAGACCAACCTTGGGCAGTCAAGTATGAGTAACGTGTGCACGCGTGCATGGGCATGTGTGTGTGTGTGCGTACACAGGGTTAGGGTTAGGGTTAGGGTTAGGGTTAGGGTTAGGGTTACACACACACACACACACAAATGGGTTTTACTATGTAGCCTTGACTAGTGTGGAACTCCCTATGTAGATCAGGCTGACCTCAAACTTAAAGCAATTCCCCTGCCTCAGCCTCCTGAGTACTGGGATTTTAGGCATGAGCTACAATACACAGTTAGAATTTTTTTTTTAATCTTCTGAGAACAATGGGTGTCTATTAAAGGAAAAATGTTTTTTCTGAGGTGCTAGCATGGAACTCGGGGTGAGGCACATTTTGAACTGCTCCTTCAGCCCCATCAAAGGCTTCTGAATGTGAACTAATGTGCATCAGTATGGGGACAGCCCTAGCGGAGCCCCAGGAGCCTGGGCACATACATGGAAGGATGGGGAAGGACCATTACAAGGCTACTCCCACAGGACCAAGGTGACACTGTAGTGGCTCACACTATTTCCCTACTTCCACTCTGCTTGCCTCACAGAATGCTATTTGGAGGCAACGCTTCCAAGGATCCTGCTTTGGAATCCCCAACTAAACACAAGTTGGTTCTCATTACAACACAAGCATCATTACCGTGCAAAGCTTCACCAACCAAAAAAAGACTCTGAACACGAGCCAGCAGTGCACTGGTTCCTAGAGGAGCCACACCAAATTCAGAGTTACAGCAGGGTGAGATTCTTGGGCCCACCTCAGAGGTTTCTAGACCATGTGACACAAGGATGAGAGAAAGTCTAAGGGCACTGGTGACCCCCCAGCACAAGCCAAATGAACCTGCCACACTCTGTCCCTGCCTCCAGAATGCCTGTCCCTTTCCATGAGAAATCTCCCTTTCTCTTCTGGTGTTAACTGGATCTCAGCTCAAACTGGGCTTCCTCCTGGAATCTTTCTAGGTGCCCCTAAGACTGAGAGCTTCACAGCTGGCCTTCTCTCTCATTCTACTTTCACCTGTCACAACTTCTCTGTAGGCTCCCAGACCAAGGTTCTAGAACACAGTGGTGACCATGAATATATAAGATCTGGCACACAAAGAAAGCTTCCAAACAAACTTCATCAGCGGATGAATGAATGGTAACTTTTATCTAAGGCTCCCCCCCCACCCCCCACCCCCAATCACCAAGGTCACTCCTGCCCTCCTCATTTCCTCCTCATGCCCTCAGAACTACTAAAGGATGTGTCAACAGCTGAGGATTATTCTTTGGAAGGTAGACAAGCACTAGAAAACAACTGGCCAATAGTTTGGGCAGGCATGTTCACAGAGGAGACAAAATGGGTCTCCAGTGACAGACTCTCTCCAAAGAGTTCCCACCCAAATGCTCTTTTGTTTTGTTTTGCTTTGCTTTGTTTATTTGTTTTTGGGGAGGCTGCCCTAAAGATCAGTTACTTCTGTGAAATATGAACACTTCTGACTCTTGACCAGAACTGCAAATTTACGAAAAATTGATAGCAGGTTCCAATTCTCATGACTCGGAAAAATGTCACTAGTAGCTGCATGTGTCAGACACTGTGCCTTCTCTCGGTTAACCCAGAGGCACTGTGAGATAAGTACCACTCAGGAGGCGAGGAAGCAGGCTTAGTGTGGTGAAGTAACTTGTACAGATACACATAGCACATGGCACAGCTGAGATCAGAGGCAAAACAACAATCCTCACCTTATCAGACAGATAAAGACAACAGACAACTTACTGACACACTGGACTAAGCTCTGGTGTGTACTTCTGCCTAAACACAGAAGAGGAAGAGAATCGAAGAGAGCTTGGTGAACGCCAAGCTCCATGGCACATGGATGAAGCCAAGAAGACAGTGGGCAGGCCCACGGCATCCAAGAAGCTTTGAGCCAACACTGCAGCCGGGGATGGAGATGCTGATTCTAAATCATCAGCTTTCCCCTGACAGGACATTCCCGCCCACACAGAGCGAGGCTCAGTTGGGGATGGGTCAGTGATGTACATCTGCCCACCCAGAGGGAGAGCCGGAGCCCAGGCATCCGAAGCATGACATAACTATGAAGAGTGGAGAACGCATTCCTTGTGAGCAGCTCCGAATCGAATTCCCTGCATCCCTGTTTGGCGACGTTATCAGAGGCATCCTTCAGCCCACCCGCCGATTGGAGAAGAGGCTACGAAAAAGGCTGAAAAATGTGACCAATCATGAGAGTTATTTTTGTGAGAAAGGAGAAAAATGTCACCAAAAAGGGTCAGTAGATAACCCTATTGGGCTGAAAATAACTACTCTGCTGGCAGGCCAGTCAGGGAACAGGCAGAGGGCGAGGGACGTCATGCAAAGAGCCACGGGAGCGCTGGCCGGGTGAGGTGGCTGGGGATGAGGAAATTGGCCTAATTTGGGAACATGAGTCCAGCAGCATTTCTCGGATTCCTGGGCAAGATTCTGGCTAACTTTGAGCTCTGTGTCCTCGGGAGAAACAACGAGGGCATGTGGGGGCAGAAAAGGAACAGCTGGATTCCAACTCTGCTCCGCACAGCTAGACCAATAAGGGGGAACCAAAGGAGGACTCTGAGGAAGGCTCCAGGATAATTCCCCCACCCCTGGCCTCTCTGCTCTCTCCTAAAGCCCCTTCTCCACAGGGAGGTCTTGCACATCCGCCAGCAGGGCAGGTAGGAGAGGGCTCGGAGTAGCTGGCTACCAGCATGAGCTACGGCTCTGGAGGAGTTATCAGCCTCTCAAGTCCTGAGGTGATGACACCTATTTCAAGAGGTACCTTGAGGCTTTACAGGTTGCTGCACAGACTTAGCAGACAGGTAGCAACTGTTTCCACGGAGCCTCTGATCTCTATCTACAAAAATAAAGAAAAAAGCCACCTTATATAAGCATGGGAGAGACACACATCCGTGGCCAAACCAGCCTTGCAACGGTTTTTTGTTTGTTTGTTTGTTTTCTTGGTTTTTGTTTTTTTGTTTTTTTGTTTTTTGTTTTTTGCTGAAGACTACTTTTGCCCAAACTGAGCGTAACATAACTGGATGGCCCAGGGCTTTTCTCAAAGGAGTTACGTAAGAATCATTTGAATCAGAAGAATGGCTTGTTGGGTAGAGACTGCTGGTTTTCCTCAAACACACTGTAGAATTAGAGGGCTTCCAGCAAAGTCCTCTCCTAATTTAAATTTCTGACAACTGAAATTGATTTCAGTTGATTTGCAAACTGAACTAACTTCCCACCTGATCCAAGTCTGATCTGTGACCAGTCTCTCTCTCTCTCCCTCCCCGCTCCCCCCACCCCCACGATGGTCCTGAGCCTCCTCAGGGTTCCACATTCCACTGCTAGATGCTTCATTACCTACTACGCTTGCATTGCCCAATTTTATCTTCACGACAGACCTAAAAAAAGCAGGCACAAGTCTGGGGCTGTGGCAACAGCTAGCTTGGTAAAGTAAGTGCCTGCCACACAGACATGAAGACCTGTGTTCAATCCCCAGCAGAGAACCCACATAAAAATCAGATACAGTGGTGTGGCTCACATCTGTAAACCTCAGGGGGTGGAGGGTGAGGAAGTCAGGACAGACCCGCCTATGCCTGGGGCTGACTGGCCAGGCAAGCCTAGCTGACTTGATGAGATCCCGGGTGTGAGTTCAGCAAGAGACCATGTCCCAAAACACAAGATGGAGAGTGATCAAGGAAGAAACCCAATTAACATCAACCTCTGGCATGCATACGCTCACGTGAACAAGTCCATACATCAGAGTCAGACAGACAAACTGACACAGAAAATATGGCACAATCTCAATGCACTCCACACCAGTAACATGACAAAGGAGCTCAACTTCCTGTTAATTCAGGAAAATTAGGCAGTTGTGTGTTCTTTGAAATCAGAAGAATGACCAGGCAAACCAAAAGACCTTTCTTCTTCTCTCGGTGTGGGCCTGGGTTCCAACACTTGGGTGGAGCCACGTGTACTCCATGGGGAGAAAGCCACTGAATAGTGACCAAAATGGCAGAGAGAAGACAAGCAGAGGGAGGGTTCACCGGGCAACTCACTCAGGCACACAGGACACAGGATACAGCACACAGGACACAGCACACAGGACACAGGGCACACGGAGCCCCACACAACGGTAAGGAGCTGGAGGGGGATGTGGGGAAGGGAGCTAGCCAAAAATACAATTCTTCCCTTCCTTATCCAGTCTATTTAAAAATTCTAATTTTGGGGTGGGGAAAAGGGAAGGGTTTCTCTGTGTAGCCCTGGTTGCCTTGGATCTTACTCTGTAGACCAGGCTGGCTTCAAACTTTCTGAGATCTTCCTGCCTCTGCCTCCCAAATCCTGGGATTAAAGGTATGCAGGTATACCACCAATGCCCAGGTAAAAAATTCTAATTTTTAACATCAAGTTACTTTGTATCAACATCTCCCACCCCGTCTGTCTGCGCCTGTGTCTGTCTCTATACTGGTGGATGGCAGGTAGTTCTGACCTGCTTTCCACCTTAGTTTTGGACATAGGGTCTCTCACTGAACCTGGAGCTCACTGGTTGGCTCATCAATTGACCCTCCTGTCTCCACCTTCTAGTGCTGGTGTTACAACACCACTGAGCCTGGCCTTTCTGTGGGTGCAGAGGATCTAACACAGGGCTCCTCGTGCTCACGTGTGTGATGGTCTGAAGGAGAAAGGCCAGCACAGACTCTTCTGTTTGAATACCCAGTCCTCAGCTGGTGGAATGTTTGGGAACAATCAGGAGCTGTGTCATGGGGAGGGCTGGGCCTTGAGGCTACAAAAGACTCAAGTCCTCTCCCCCCGACCCTTTCTGCCTCCTCGGGATGAGAGACCCTGGGGAGGACACAGGGCAGACGTGGAAGGGTCTGGGGAGAGAATAGGAGGAGGAAATGATGTAATTACAATCTCAAAACTTATTTTTTTTAATGTGAACTCTCAGATGCTGCTCTAGCCCCATGCTTGCCTGTCTAGGCTTTCCACTATGATGGCAATAAACTCATATTCCTCTGAAATCATAAGCCCAAGATAAACCCTTCTTCCATAAGTTGCTTTGGTCATGAAGTTTTATCATGACAACAGTGGAGTAACTAATACTTGTGGTAAGCATCTTACTGGCTGAGTTGGCTCGCAGACCATCAGGTTAGCTCATAGCCTACTCCACAGCCATTCATACCCACTCACGAAGAAACACCAGTGCCCTGGGTAAAAGCTCCCCTAAGACTCAGAGTGGTAGCTATAAGACCCATTCTGACTGTATTAAAAGCCCTCGGGAACGGTGGTGGTGAATGCCTTTAATCTCAGCACTCAGAAATCAGAGGCAGGTGGATCTCTGTGAGTTCAAGGATAGCCAGGTCTATAGATCAAGTTTCCAGGACAGCCAGACCTACACAGAGAAACCCTATCTCGAAAAACCAAAATAAATAAATAAATAAATTAATTAATTAAAAATAAAGCTCTCTTGAAAGCTAGGACAGTTGTAAAACTGTGTGCTGACCAATAAAAGGCAGCTAGTCATATACTCCCCAAGTCCTCTGGCTACTGTTTCCTGATTGAAAGGGGACATCCAGGGGACACGCCCAGAACTCTTCCTGCCTAGAACACAGGTCCAACCCCTGAACAATCATCAGCTGGAGACCCTGAGAACTAAAGCCACAAGCTTCCCACAGCACAGCAGGAAACCAGGATGATACAGGACAGTGTGCCAGGAGCACATCCCTCGGTCCTCCCCTTGGTCCTCCACCAAACTCCTCAAAAGTCAGGCCAGAGGAAAGCACAGCTGCATGTAGCCAAATTCAGGGCTAACAGACACAAAGGGATGTCTGGAAATCATCTCCAAACACCACAAGTTCAAAACTCAGGAGGAAATGGGCACCATGCAGACCAAGAAAGTCTGCTAGGGCATTAAAGTAAGATGTGGCCAGACACAGAGGCACATGCCTGCAATCCTAGTACTCAAGAGACTGAGACAGAAAGGCCATGAAGTTTGAGGCCAACCTGACCTTCAAAGCAAAACTTTCTCAAAAACAAACAAGCCAGCAAACAAAAAGTAAGACGTGATAGGCGTGGTGGTACACTCCTTTAATCCCAGCACTCGGGAGGCAGAGGCAGTCAGATCTCTGAGTTTCAGGCCAGCCTGGGCTACAGAGTGAGTTCCAAGACAGCCAGGGCCATGCAGAGAAACTCCATTGCATAAAACCAAAGAAGAAATGAGGAGGAGGAGGAAGAGGGAGAGGAAGAAGAAGAGGAGAAACTATCGGCAGTAGACACAAGCTGGGAACAGGAGCACATGCCTGTAACTCTAGCTGCTCAGAGGCTAAAGCAAGAGGACGGCAAGTTCAAGGCCAACCTGGGCAAGTTAGTGAGATCATTTTATTATGGAAGGAAGGGAGGGAGGGACAGAGGGAGGGAGGAAGAGAGGGAGGAAGGAAGGAAAAAGAGAAAGAAAAGAAATAGCTGGGGTATTGCTAGTGGTCAAGCACTTGTCTAACACAGGCAGAGGCCTGGGTTCCATCCCCAGCACTACAAATAGAAAGACAGGCAGACAAATGGCAATGAACTGGACAGGCCTAGTCACCCGTAAAAAGCCAGCACCAGTACGCTGGCCAACAACTGCCACACAGAAACGCCAGCTCACTGGTCTCACCAGGAAGAACTTCTGATTTCCCAGGGAAACCCCAAATCCCAGTTTTTCTGTCAGGTTTCTCAATTTTATAAGTATTAACCTTTTTTTTTTTTTTAAGTTTAAGTGTTTAAATCAAGTACAATGTGACTGCAGCTTTAGCACGAAGCCTCTGGAGATAAAGTGCTTGCAGTACAGGCCTGGGGTCCTGAGTTCAATCCCCAGGACCCACGATAGAAGGAGCCAAGGCCTGGATGGCTTTGTGTGCCACCACAGGGGCCTGCCCACCCACTGCACCCCTTCAACAGGACCAGCAGAGAGCAAAGACTCATCCACCCCTAATGTGCTGAGTGAAAGAGAGCTTCCACAGTGCCTTTTAGTTTACCAGAACGCTTAAATACAGAGCTCCCTTGATCCTCACATTCATCTAACCGGCCGTGGTCACCATGTGACAAATGACGAAACGGAGGATTCCGGAGATTAGCGGATTTAAGATCCAAGCCCTTAGAAGAGCCAGTGGCAAGCCCTGTGTCTGTCTCCCTGCTTCCTTCTTCCCCGTCCCAACTCCACCGCCTCACTTTAAAATAACTATTTATTCAAAACTAATTCCTACTGAACTCTAAAGTGACAGCAGCCTGACAGTCCCCAGGTACCACATTTATATTTTTAGGGATATCTCCACTGAATAAAGCTAATGAGGAGATAAAAATAAACATGTCAAGTAATGGGCTCAGAACTGGGTGTAAATGGGCACAAGTCCTAGATCTAATTTTAGAATTAAACAACAAAAAGTCTCACACAACACAGTGAGTATCTGGTCCTATGAGAGGCTGCCCAGGCAGCTTCAAGCCCCGCTGACACAGGAAGGGGAGGGTGGCACTCCAGAATCCTGCTGCGCACCCTGCTTCCAAGGGACCTCTCAGAAAAAATGCTAAGAACCAGAATCAGCAATAGTTGTGCATTACACACACACACACACACACACACACACACACACACACCCCACACACACCCTAGACTGTCAGCATCTTAAAAGATCAGGCCGTGCTGATCTGTACCCTGCCAGCATCAGCCAGCTCTGATAAGATACCAGTTATCCCTTTACAGTGGTCATGTGACCTGCAGGCCCACTACCCTCCTGGCCGAGGGTCTTCCTGCTGCTGAGGGAAGGGTCAGCTGGCATACTTTATGTGCTGGCATTGAGGTTACAATTATAACTCCTCATGCCCATGCCTCTACAGCAAGTGGGAAAATGAGACACATGTGGACAGGGCCACATAAAGAGCTTAAGAAAACCGTGACATCGTTTCTGATGCCCACTCATGTGATCCGTGAGTACAGCGTGTCTGTTTTATGTGCACCTGCATGGTCTGCCAGGCTTCTCAGCTCCTGCTTCCTCAGACACCGTGAACTGTTGAGTGAGACAGCTGCCAAGAAGCTAGGTTTCCTACTGTCTGGTGACTCACTTCTAGTGGAGCAGAGAGACGTGGAAGACTACAGTCAGCAAATAACTCGGCCTGCCCTAAGGAAGGTGAGTACTGCAGGAGACGGCAGCCCTAAGAAGACGGCCTACAGAGGTCAGCGAGACCCTGGAAAGGCAAAGACTGCACAGAGGAAGAGGGCTGAGTGAACCCCAATTGTAAACAGCTCTGTTCATGGATTTCCCACCCTTCACAAAGAAGCTGGATCATTCCCCTAAGATCGAGGCCTCTTGGGAAAGTTTGCAGAAGGCAGAAGCAGCCCAAGCCCCTTCCTGCTGGGAACTGGAGGAGACAGTGGTCGCTGCTTGCAGCAAACCTCCAGCCGTGTGATCCACCCTTTCCCACTTTTAGGTGCACCTTCCTGACAGCTTCCCAGTGCTTCACTTCAGATGGCATAAGAAGCTCTACAGAGCTGGGGATGGACTCAGATTGATGGAGTGTCTGCCCAGCATGCACAAAGCCCTAAGCCTGATCCCAGTACCTGCCAACCACAGGGCAAGCTCTCCTGAACTGGAGGAAGGAGATTCAGTAATTCAGGGTCATCCTCAGCTACATGTGAGTTCCACACCAGCCTGGGCTACTTGAGACCCTGTTTTTAAAATAAAAATAAAAATTGTACACTATGAATATGAGAAAAAATGTCTGGAAGCCAGTATGGTCTCAAAAGAAAGATGTTCCCAGTAGGACAAATGTCCTCAAAGGGAACTTCCAAATCGAGACACATAGAAAGGCTGGCATTCCAAACAAATATAGGATACCACAGCCCTGCTCATTAAGGTTTCATTGATTCTTAACGAGCATTTGTCCATGACTTCCTGTTTCCTGTCTCGGTAACACTCACCTCTGCAGTCTGAGTCAATGAAGAATTTTTGCTGTTGAAGGAATTCTCAGGCTGAGTGGACTCCTGTTGAGCTCGGCGTCCCATCTTGGCCCCCTGAAAGGAGAGACGGAGAGTACAGCTAATCCAGTGTCATTTGAGGCCCTGTGGGTATAACATACAGGGAGCCAGGACTGGAGTCTTACAGCACGGCAGAGAACAGGAATCACACACACACACACACACACACAAATCAATATAAATATATCACATGGATATATTCATAGAGAATTCTCCAAACCCTTATGAAAAAGTACCCAAGTCAGTTCTACTTAGTAAAATAGGAAACACACAGGCTATTGATCATGAGATTTTCAACAGCCATAGTTAACAGCAAAAGCCAAGTCACTATTCTGTCCATGACACACAGTTAGAAATGCAGCTAGCCTGGACAGAGACCTCAAGCCATCTAGCTCAGAGCTGATGGTAAAGGCTCCCACATTCCTAGACTTGAGACAGCTAACAGGCTTTAAGAGAGAATTCCTCAATTCTATGGCAGTTGAGTAATCCAGACACCTCTTGCTCTGCTGGCTAGATGTGCATCTACAGGGAGCCCCACCACAGGAATGCTGAGACAGCGCCTTTGGAAACTAAGAGCAAGCACCTCAGGATTCTGAGTCAACAGATGAAACATGTGCAGGTGTCCCCCAGCCCTCCAAGTGGGTAGGGGCTCTGTCTCCAACATTCCGCAGAACAAAAGAAAACTCTGAGGCACACACGTTGAAGAGTGTCTGTGTGATCATTTACTTAAGACAAAACAAAAGTAGCATCAGCAGAGTATCTTCAGGTCTCATTACCATGGCTGTATTCCAGTCTCAAGACGGTATGGACAAAGACTGAGACCGACGCCATTTTATAGAAAAGGAAACCAAGGCCCAGAAAGGTGATTAAGTAACAAAGTCTTCTTTGGAATTAAAATCCTGTGTTTGTCCCACATCCCATGACACCCCACTGAAAACTCAGTGCTAAGTGTTCTAAGAAGGCAGATGAGGTTTTTAGGAGACCCACATTAAAAAAAAAAACACTAAAGTGGAATCTGGGCTTCCAATTGCAATCACCAACCCTTCAAGTTACAATGTCAGTCTTTTCAAGTTTCAAGGGTGATGGGAGCAATCTTTCTGATAATACAGTTCATTTCCTTCTCTAGAAAGGTACCCTCTTTTGCTTGTCCAAATATCTGATCCTACAGTAGTTATGTTACACTAAAATCAATGATCCTGAGTGTAAATGCTGTTGACAAGCGACTTCTCTAACAGCCGTTGATGTCTGAGACTATTTGACAACACAGAAAATCTGAGATCACGTATTTTAAGGGTAGTCTTTTTATTGTCCTTCTCCCTGATACACAGTAGGGCTCACTACATATGTGTGGAGAAAATGATAAAGGTCACTAAATTCACATCCTGGGTACCAAAAAGGTTTGTGTGTCAGAAAGACCTGGTGGCCTAATGCCCTTAGCTTTTTAAAAAACTCTGCTCTATCTTCAACCAATTAGTTTCTGCCCCTTTTATCTCCCTCCAACAGGTGCCTCTCTAGCACCTTGGAGGGCATAAGATGGTACCAAGGCTCTTCAAAACACCTGAGATTTTACATCAGAAACCAAGGCATTGCCATGTGGCCCAATGTGATCTCAACCGTCTCTAAAGGCTATCGAGACCTGGTGGGGGCTGTGACAGTAAGAAAACACTGGCTATAGGTCTTTAATCAAGTTCTATTATGTACAGGCTAAACGCCGGTCATAGGCTGGGAGGAAACAACAGCGAAGGTCAGGAAGAATTACCCCATTTCACCCGCACAGCAACACGTCCATTCTACTAGCATGGAGGTCGAGGCTAGGTGCATTCTGGCCCATCCACAGTTCTGTTACTATTTATTCACACCCCCTGCCACTCCCCACACACATATAATAAATTGGAGTATTGATTTCCAATCCTGGGAGAGCAGAGATTACAGAGAGCATGAGGAAAGGACGTCTCCAGCCAGCTCTCTTCCCAGCCTCCTTCAGAACTTCCGGGGCCTAGACTTCCCGGGAGAAAACTCCAGGGCGGGAGCGGGCGTGGTCGGGGCGGGGGCAGACCCTCCGTTAAGGTGGAATTCGCACTCGGGCGGTTGGGCCGGGGTCTGTCCCAACTCCGGGCTTCTCAGAGAGCCGGGCCATTTGTCCCACCCGCCGAACCGGACCCCAGCCCCCAGCATAGCTCCTCACGGAGGTGGCCGAGCTGCGACGTCTCTCCTCGCCCAGGTCCAGTAAATCGTCCATCGCCGCGGCTGCTGATGTCACTTCCTGGAAACAGGCGTCTCCGTCGCGTCCCTAACAACGACCCCGCCCTTCCATCCCAGTATTTAAAGAGTCCGCCTCACAGTTCCTAGGTCCTGTGTGTCACATTCCAGTTGAAACCAGACCTTTCTTACACCAACTTTGCCTGACTTCGGAGAAAACAAAACAAATCTCCAGATAGCAAGATCCTCTAAAGTTGCTCCAGGGAGGTGTTAGCCCCGGGGACTGCCCACATTTGTAACTCTGATTAAAATCGTTTGTGAGCCGAAGCGCCGCTCTCAGTGATTATTCGGAGCCCTCATATTCACAGTGTACAAAGGTCTTCAGAGTTACTGTTCAAGGATAGATGTGCGGTGTTATTTCCATTTGACAGATGAGCACTAATGTAATAAACGGTTTACAAAATTTACAATGACTTGCAAAAAAGCGGTGTATGTGATTTCTGCCTTCAAGAAGTTTATTGAAAGCAGTCGCACACGGTGATACATACCTGTAATTCTAACACTTGGGAGGTTAGAGAGCAGGAAATTTTTAGTTCAGTATCATCCTCAGTTATACAGTGAATTTGAAAGGTGGGGCTTGGTGACATGAAACTCTGACTTTGAAAACAACGTTTATATAGAGGCCAGATTAAAGTATCCAACACTCAAGTACTAATCACTTTCGAAATTATAAACATAGCCAAGCATGGTGAGAGGGGCCACAATCCCAGCTTGCTACTTAGAAGGATGAAGCCAGTGGATTACTTATGCCTAGAAATTGGACTCCAGTTTTGACAACATAGTGAGACTCCTTTTCAAAAGAAATAGAAATGAAGGTATATTAGTGGGGTTCTTACTTAATCTGAACAATTCCACAAAGTGGAGAGCAATGACTCCTCTAATCAGCAAGACAGATAGCTTGAGGAAAAGAACTCCAGACCGGGGCGTTGAGTCAGCCTTTGTAACACACATGTTACTGCAGTGGTTTCCAGCACAGAATGGTTGTCAGCCATTCTCCTAGGCCTGCAGAAGGAGATAGCCCATGGATTCCCAGCCTAGGGGGTAGTCAGGTTGTGTCTTCATTGATTCATCTGACCAGTTCTTGGCATTTTCCACAGAAAATGGAACGTGGATCGCCACAGTTTAAAAGACATTGGAAGGGCTGCCCCTAAAGCTTAATGACAAACACTGCTACCCAGCAAGCGACACTCAAGGTTTCAGTCTCCCTCTTACTAAGATTAAGCATTTTCATGCCCAGTGACACCGGCCTGCTAGTTGGAGGAATTGATTTCTCAGCCTAGCCTTGCTTGACCTCAGTTTCCTCTCTTGGAACAACCTTCAACAATTTCTTCTGAGATCCTTACTGGCTTCTGGGTGAGAATATTTTGTTAGATTTTAATCAGATGGAACAATCATTGCCAAAAATCTAAGCCAGCTTGGGTATAGGCACCAACTATTTTCTTGTTCCTTCTTCTTTGGCACCGCTTGTGCAAGAAGGGATTAATGTTTGGATTTTTCAACTTCTTGTAAACTCCCGCCCACTTCTACCCCAACTCCGAGAAAACAAAGGGTGAATGGTACTCACCCTGGGCATAGAGAATCCTCAGCAAGCAGGGGCTGGCAAGCTACTTGAATCACTTGAGAAGTGAGTTTTAAAACATAGCAGCTGTTAAGACACTGGAGTGAGAGAGATGGTGTGTAGCCCAGAAGAGAATTCCTTCAATAGTTATGCCCCCCATGGTGTAAAGTGTTAGCCCAAGAGCCTCAGCCTCTAGAACCATCCATTTTAAATTTCAACATGACTCCCCCCAAAAGGGCCACTCTCCTCCTCCTTCCCTGCTCCATCCCCCCATAAACTTACACGTGTCCTTCCTGTTTTGCCATTCTCCCCATCCTGAAATGCAAATCCTGTAAAATCTTGTTCATTGTCTCAAATTCCAGAAGCAAACATGGCGTAATAGCAACGGATGGACTGGGTTGAGAGGGTGGTATTGACACCTCAGAGCTGTGTGACCAAAAAGTCTCTTTTAAGGCTTCTCCACACCTAGGTTTCCTCAGAGTCGCACAAGTTAAAATCATGTCTTTCCAGATTAGACAGCCTGTGATTGACATCTCCATTACCCACATGCAGTGTGGCCTTGAGAGGAAAAAAAACCAACTATTCTCAGTTTCTTCAATTGTAAAATAATATATTAACATCTCTTCAACTGAGACTTAGGAGGCAGGCCTCTCAGAAAGGATCCAGGAGACTTGGGAAGAGGGCATTTATAGGAAGAGGGTGAGCAGCTCGGCCTGGGTCTGGCCTACCTTAAGCTGCTCAAGGAGGGGAAAGACCTACAAATCCTCCTGGGAAATGGGCTGAGGCCAGGTGCTCAGTCAGACTGGAGGGGAGCGGCGCTCGCTCATGCTCACGCGTGGGGGCTGGGACCATAATCTCGGGATCTGGTGGTGCTTGCTGTCCCCGGCCTCCGAGCCTCCGTCACTGGCGGTCCTGCCTCGCCAGAGGGCACCCTCGGCCTTCCGGAAAACGCCATCGTTTATCCCAGCAGCAGCCGCCGGGCTCGGGATGGTCAATGAAGAACCGCTGCCAGGATCGCGGCCGAGCCCTGTTCCACCCTGGGGCCTGGAGAGAGTGGCCTGGCCGCCGGGCCCTGCACCCCTAGAGAACTTAGCGTGTGTCCCCGGTCGGTCCCGGGGGCGATCGGGGACGCGGGGGAGGCGAGAGAGCGGGGCGGGGAGCGTGGACTGACAGCTGGCCCCGGCTCAGAGGGGCCGGGGTAGTAGGAGGGAGGGGGCTCGGGAGTAACTTTCCAGAAAAACAGCCAACGTGTAGCAGGAATGACTCCAAGAGGAGGGGAAAAAAAAAGTTCAGTTACCACGTCGAACCAGAGGACTCACAAAGTATTTTTCAAATGGGCTCGGCTTTTCCTGTGCCTGTTTAAAACATTAAAACCGTGCAGCGAGAGAGGCTGTGTGCGCTGGTCCCTCCCTCCCTCCCCCACCGCAGGCCGATACGTCATGGGAGGGAGGTATAAAATTTCAGCAGAGAGAAATAGAGAAAGCAGTGTGTGTGCATGTGTGTGTGAGAGAGAGAGGGAGGAGAGCGAGAGAGAAGGGGAGAGAGAAAGGGAGGGAAGAAGAGGGCCGAGTGTAGGGGGCTGAGCCACAGAGAGGCGAGACACACACGGGAAGAGCCTTGCGGAGGAAGGATAATGCTTTCCGGAGTCAGCTGCGGTGAATTGGCCTCTATTTTCTTTTCTTTTTGATTTTTTTTTAATTCCTAAAGAGAAGCGAGGGACAGAAGCCATGGCCGAGAGAGAAGACAAGCTGAGATGCTGGTGACCGTGGGTCCAAGTGGATTATCCGAGCTGTCTCCAAGAGGCCTGACCTCCCCGCTTGCCAGTTGTACATAATCCCTCATCCCAGCCAATGAAGAGGAGAGGCAGCGCGAACAGAGTCATTTAGAAAGCCCCCGAGGAAGTGTAAACAAAAGAAAAGCATGAATGGAGTGTTCCAGAGACAAGTGTGTCCTGCACTGCCCCCACCTTTAGCTGGGCCTACCGCTGCCCAGCCCTGCCTCTCCCCACATACCCACTGGTGATTTTTTTTTTTAAGAAACATTTTTTCCCCTTCCCTTTTTCCATTTCGCTTTTTCTTATTCTCCCTTCTGGGCAAGGCAACGAACTTGACTTTTGGGACCCAGCCATGACTCTTCTTCTGCACTTTCTTTAAAATACTCACTTTCTCCCCATCGCCTCAGCGTTTGGCGATATCAGATATCCGCTCTATTTATTTTTACCTAAGGAAAACCTCCAGCTCTCTTCCCACTCCCAGCTGCCTTGCCTCCCCTCCCAACCCTCGGCTTGCCCTCCACCTGGCCTGCTGGGGAGTCAGAGCCCAGCAGAACCTGTTTAGACATATGGACAAGATTCCCAGCGCTACACGGCACACAGTCCGCTACTTCGTCCTGGGGTTGCCAGCGCTTCCTGGGAGTCCTGCAGCTCACACAGCGCAGTGAGTTCATGCACCCTCTTGCCAAGCCTCAGTCTTTGGGATCTGGGGAGGACGCCTGGTTTTCCTCCCCCTTTCTACTGGGGTCTCCTCCTTGCCAGGCCTCCCCAGTCCCCTGGCCTCGTTCCTGGGCTCACACATGAAGATGCACTTGCAAAGGGCTCTGGTGGTCCTGGCCCTGCTGAACTTGGCCACGGTCAGCCTCTCGCTGTCCACTTGCACCACCTTGGACTTCGGCCACATCAAGAAGAAGAGGGTAGAAGCCATTAGGGGACAGATCTTGAGCAAGCTCAGGCTCACCAGCCCCCCTGAGCCGTCGGTGATGACCCACGTCCCCTATCAGGTCCTGGCACTTTACAACAGCACCCGGGAGTTGCTGGAAGAGCTGCACGGGGAGAGGGAGGAAGGCTGCACTCAGGAAACCTCGGAGTCCGAGTACTATGCCAAAGAGATCCATAAATTCGACATGATCCAGGGGCTGGCGGAGCACAGTAAGTCCAAATGCTTGCTGGGTATCTGTTCTGGAGGGGGTGAACTGGAAAAGGGAGTTCCACAGAGGGGGGCCTGGTGGCCCTTACACTGCAGAGTGCCCCAGGGTTCACTACAGAGGTCAGGCACTGCAGCTGCAGCTGGGTAGGTGGGTGGGAAAGGAGACAGAGACGGTCTAGTGAGAGCCAAGGGGTTCCAGAGGCCAGGAGCCCTGAAGCCAAGTGGTGTTCGGAACTCCTTGGTGTATAGTATGGTGCCACCTAAGGAAACATGTTCTCACAGATCTATGTGTGATAACACATGACACTCACTGTGAGCACGAGTTCTGTAAAGGAGTGGGCTGGCTGGCTCCCAAATCCTCCCGGTCTTCTGAGTCTGGACATCTCCGTATTCTCCCTGCTTTTCCTGGCTCCTTGTGCCACATCTCTCGGTTAGTTTCCTGGCTCTCGGGCAACACAGTGTACCTGCCTCAAATTTGTGTTTGTCAAGCTTTTGGAAGCC